CAGGGCTTTCTTGCTTTCTGTATTGTATTTGGTTATTTTTTCCAGTATCGGGTTATTTGGATAAATCTGCACTTGTGACTTCTGCCAAGCTTTGGCCCTATGGACAGTGCAATAGATGATTACATTTTTTAAGAGTGCCAAAATCTGGAAACAGTTCATTTGGAAAATTTCTTAACAGATTGCAAATGGTGAATAAATTATCGCACAAGGGGACTTTTGAAAAGGATCTTGAAACTCCCGTGGTGGTAAATTCTCAGCTAAAGAAATGTAGCATATTCAGGCTCATGCTCACAAAAACCAAGCAAATCCTTGCCTGGAAACCATCTGAAGGAATTAGGACTTTTCATATCTTCTTTTTTTTTTCCCTTTGTTTTTTCTTTAAAAAATAAAACATAACAGAAAGTATCTTTCACAATTACCATATAACAGTAAAGATGTGGTTTATATAATCTAACATTACCAGCAATTACTTGATTTGTTTAGATTTGCTTATGTTCCTGGCTGGGTCCCATTGGCACAGCTTTTTTCAGGACAGTTGACTCAGCCTGAGCACTTGTAAAAACCTGCATTTTAAATGGGCACAAGAAGTGATTTTGGCACAGCTTCTAAACAACAAAGAATGTGGTGACAATGTATTTTATACTTGCGAACTCAGCTGACTTGGTGGGGCATATTTGACAGTGTGCTTGTTTCATAGAAAGAACAGCCTGCAGTGGTCACAGCTCTTAGCACTCACTGTTTGTTGTTACAAAAGTTATCATTAAGCTGGGATATGAGCTGTAGACTTCTGCTACTTGGATGATTTATTGACATTGTTCTTCTTATCCCCAGGTTCTCATTCTGGCTTTCTTTTTCTTCCCCTCCCCCCCCCTTTTTTTTTCTTTTCTTCCCCTCTTAGTGTGCTCTGTGTTTTTTCTCTCAGAAATATTTGTAGGAGGTAGTGCAGTACCAGAGCAGTTTATCAGAAGATCTATGATTCTGCAACACTGAAGGTCAAATCCAAACCCCAGTGGATATCCTTATTAATAGAACCCTGTGCCCTGGCTTTGGGGCTCTTTACAGGCTCTAAAAGGAGAAAATATGCTTCCAAATCATATATAGCATAGCTTGGCAGTGCATTTGAGCCCTGCATAGCCACAGGAAGGACTAGCTGTATTCCTAGTGCTGAATTTCTCTGTGATGGTAGACTCCTCAGTAACTTTTCTTCTAGGAAGCACAAGGTACATGTGCTCTTTGTTTAAGCTGTTGTGATTTTTCATTACAATTGCTTTGTATATGTGGCAGAAGGGGAATATTTGGTTTTGAATAGTAGCTAGGGATGGGTAACTCTTAAAATGTGTGGAGATTCAACTCTATTTTAATCAACATTCAGATGCTTAGAAGCCACCAATCTGATTTCAGACAGACTCTTTAATTTTATTGTCAATAGTTTCCTGATTCTATTTTTTTTTCTTTTGATACCTATTTTCTTTAAACTTCTGGGAGAAGAGATTAATATTGCCAAATACTCTCTTGGTTGCAGCTTCCCCTTCTGCCAAAAGAGCAGCCTGCTTGAATATTTTCTTGGCAGTAATGCACGAGACACTTACAAATTTCTGTACAGGTTTGGGGCTAATCTCAGCACCTGAAGGTCTACTCAGAAAAGCAGCTGATTTAAAAATAATTTTTCTTGATTTTGAAATCTGTTGAGATTTCACTCTGAGATGAAGCGCAAAAGGAAAGCACTTCCCTAGAGTAACCAGCAACCAATTCAATGCAAGTTCAAGGCATGGGCCTGCTTTAAGTAAATAAAATACCGCAGTCTCCCATATCCAAGTACACACAATGCTATGGTTTTTAAGCCATTGGCAATTCTGAAGTCCTTATTGGTTGGATGAGATTTCTGTTTTGGTGCTAAGATTTTTTTCCTAAGAATCACAATAATTTAGATTGGAAAAGACCTTTAAGATCATCAAATCCAACCATAAGTCTAGCACTGCCGAGTCCACCACTAAGCCATGTCCCTAAGCACTATATCTGCATATCTTCCAATTCTTCCAGGGATTGTGACTTCACCAGTTCCCTGGGTAGCCTGTTCCAGTGTTTGACAACCCTTTTCGTGAAGAAATGTTTCCTAATATCCAACCTAAACCTCCCCTGGTACAACTTGAGGCCATTTCCTCTTACCCTATCACTTGTTACCTGGGAGGAAAGACCAAAACTCATCTTGCTACAACCTCCTTTCAGGTGTAGAGAGTGATAAGAAATGTCATACTGAAATAGTCAAGTTTCCCATCAAAAGTGTTGGCTTTAATGAATAAAAATCTTAAAGTGAGAAATATTTTTTTTCTTGAATTTTCTGACTCCCTCTAGTTTTGGCTAGCTGTGTGACAGTTGTAAATTTGCATCATATCAGAAACATGACTTACTGGTGTGCAAACACCCTATGTTGTGTTTGATTCATAGGATGCAGAAGAAAAAGGTGAAACCTGCTTCAGTAGAGGCAATTTAATGGAGAATAGAACTTAGGTATGATTTTTCATGATTTGGAGAGAAGATTTGGAAGTCTAGGAGAATATCTAAAATACAAGAAAATTGGTACAGTGATCCTCCAAGGAAAGGAGGTGATCTTTAATGCTAGTGGTATTACAGTTTTCATTCCAGTGCAATAACTGTAGTTCATAGTAGACAGTTTGATAATGCTATCATGTTGCAAACTGGGAACTGGCTCTTAAATTGGATGGATAGAAAAGATGATTAAAGCTCTCAGTAGTTTTACATTTGGTTCCTACCTGTCTGTCTGTGCTTTCAGATGATTCGAGGACCAAGTGTAAATCTGGTCTGAAGTGTCAGTGACAAATGAACCGTACTGTGTTACTCATCCCTGAAATCTTGAAACTGGCCTCTCATTTTCGTCTAAATCTGTCACTGAAAGCAGTGCCTAATAAGCAGCACTCTGAGAGGTTGTGTGCAAATGTACGGCAGCCCTCTGAAGGCCTGCTTCTGCCGGGAGTCAAAAGGAGGTGCAACCTGAGCACTCATTTTGCTCAGAAGATGAGGACTTAGTAGCCCAGAAGCCACAGCATCCCTTGTGCTGCTTCAGGCGTGAGTTAAGATCTGTGGGCTTTTTAATGAATAGTACTTGCTGACTAGGTCTAGCTTTTTTTGAGTTATTTTCTTCTCCTGATTTTTTTTTTTTGCTGTTGGTATTACTCTCCAAGGGGGTTAGTGTTCTTCAGCATAACAAGGTAGGACATGCAGTGCTAAGAACAGTTATGTTTGGAAGCATGATTCCTCCCATCTTAGTTTTGAACTGCCATTTTATTTTATAGGAAATTAGACTGATATTTAAATTAGAAGTGACTAAAGCAAGCAGGTGTTTGGTAAGAGTTAGAATGGACAAAGATCATTTGTTAACTTTAACGAGGTGGTTTCAGTCACTCAAATGGTATTTATGAACATATTACAAATTTGCTATTTTTGGCTGGAAACATTTTTTCTGAGGTTGGAGTAAGTGCTGATTTATCCAATAGCTTGGTGTTTGAAGCATTCATCTGTGGTACAGAAGATAGAATTAAAATCTCACTTCTAAGAGGCTTTGAAATCATATATTCCTACCTTGAATCAGATGCTAAGTGGATTGAACCCAATTTACACCCAGGTCAGGTAAGAAGCTTAACCAAACTTGTTGCAGAATATCTGGCAACTGAGCTACAAAGACATTTTTCACATAGACATATTATCAACGTGCAGTGATGCAGTATTTCTTGAGTCAGTAACTTTGTGGTTTTTCCAGCAATACAGCACATGTATTCTGGGCTGTTTGTTCTGGTCCTTGCCGTTGCCTCCTCCATCAACAAGCACATCCTACAAGCTGACTGGTTCCCCTCCTTCCAGCTTCTTCACCTGAGACCACATGCTTGACGTAGCAGTGTGTTAATGCAGTATCATCGTATCTACCCAGATCTGATGCTGCAATACAGCATGATCCTCTTGCCGACTTGTGTGTCTGGGTTAATTATAGTATTAGAATTAAAGGACTAAACATTGGTTTCAGAGCTGAGCCTTTTCTTGCTGTGATGCAGATGTCAATGATATCAAGCAATGATATCAAATGTAAAGCAAATAGAGTAACAGTTGCAAGATCTATCTGTTTTTTGTTCCTAACTCGAACATTTGCCTGCAGTATGACTTCAGACAAATTCACTATGCCTCTGTTTCTCTTCTTTAAAATTGGAATAATTCTGCTTTTCTGCTTTGCTGACAGGGAAGACATACTAAAGTTTAGCATCATTATTTATTTGTATGTTATTGTTCTGTCTTTTAGCAAGATGTCAGGGGTTTTGTATTGTTCAGTACTCTTTGTACTGTTCTAACACTACAAATTTGTACTGTTCTTATTTCTGTGTCATATTCTTCCCTCATGTATTCCTGAATAGTGAGAGAGATAATTGGGATATGGTAAGGTGTGTGAAGGAAGAATTGCACAGAGGAGGAAAGGACAGAATTTCACATGCCAGACATTTTGGCACCCAGGTAAAGGTGTTGAACCACCTCCAGGTGGGAAGTCATTGAGTGCCAGGAGGTATGTTGGAGATGCCACTGTGATCGCTCTCCTGATAGACACAGCTGGATCACCTGCATCTGTCATCTGCCTTATTGCTGGTTCAAGCGCAGATATCTGCTGCTTTCCTATTGGCCTCAGCTTGAAGGTCAATATAGATAGGCTCCTCAAATAGGCCATACTTCTGGTATAGGAAGTATGGCGGCCACAACCTCTGGGAGTCCCCAAAGGATTCCTCCTTCAAAATGGTTTCTCACCTCTTCATTATAAACCTATTTGCTTTATTGATATGGGTTTTTTTTAGATGTGTTATTTTTACTGGCAGTTTCTAATTGTGATATTTTGGGATCACCAATGCGCATTCACCATCATTAGTAGCTCCTTCTCATGTTACTTGTTTCATGTTCAGGGAATAGCAACCAGATTGCAAAATAATGAGCTACCTTGTGTATTTCAGAAATATACCCCTCGCAATATGCATTTCAATGATTATCGTCACAATTGGCTATGTGTTAACAAACGTGGCTTATTTCACTACAATCAGTGCTGGAGAATTGCTCCTTTCAAAAGCTGTAGCAGTGGTAAGTTACAGAAGAAAAATACAAAGCTATATCCTGGCTGCAGTTGTGTTTGTTGATATATTCTTATTTCCAGGGGAAAAAAATCAAGGGAACACATCCAATCAGGCTTTTCTATGGCTCCTTTTTTACACAACAAGTTAGCATTCCAGTGTTTTTAGTCTGATTTTTGACTGATGGGATTGCACTTAAGGCCATTGATAGCATTTCTAATGCAATGTTACACTATATGTATTTACCTGAAATAACAAAGTCAATAGGACTTAAATTTACAGCCAAATACATACTTGAAGAATTCTTTGCTAAATTGTAGGCCGAACTTCTGGGAAGCAGGAAGCGCAGATATCTGTGGAAGTGGGAGGTCTCAAAGATTTTTTTTGTAGCGGAAAGTGCCAACGTTGTCTCTGCACAACATATGTCCCAAGTTCTTAGGAAGGGGGTTGCTGTGAATACCGGAGTTCATTTGGGAATGAGTTGCAATACGACCTCGTTTGGAAATACTGCTTTGTTTGTTTTTGTGGAATTGTGGTGATACTGGTTTTTATATTTATAGTATATGACTTACAATGAGGAAATAAAAATTTCCATTTAATTTCCAGTCATGATACGGCCTATGGTTATTTCAATTGATGTGGCACTTAAAAAATGACCAAATTCTGTAGCTCATAGGAGATTTAGAAACAAAACATTTTGCAAATGTTTTGCAAACTTCAGGACAAATGTGCATGTCTCTTGTGGTGCCCAAATTTCAAATTAACACTCTTTTGGTAACCTGAAGTAATCAAGTGTGAATGGATGGACTATACCTCTGGGTAGCATCAGCTGAGTAAAATGAAGGCTGTAGAAAAAAATATTAGGTATGCAGATCAGACCTTGATCCACTCTGATTGGGTCTTCTTTTTGGAGTCATAGTGATCTAAACCACCATAAATCAGGGCCTGATTCCACCTCCCCAGCACTGCCTTAGCTGGTGTTCTTCCACACTCAGTCAGGAGTAAGGGTGGGCGACTTTGTCTGCAGTAGACTTGATGTCATGAAATAAGAGGTAGCAGATGCACAGCACAACTTTCAATAAGGGATGCAGAAAAGAGTTATAAATAAAACATGCTATACTTATTAATAATTTGTTAATTATTATTAATTAAGTAAAATTTTATGAAAAATCACTGTATGTTTCTCTCTCTAACAGACCTTTGCTGAACGACTAATGGGAAACTTTTCTTTAGCTGTACCAGTATTTGTTGCTCTTTCCTGTTTTGGATCTATGAATGGTGGCATTTTTGCAGTTTCCAGGTAAGCATTGCTGCTAGTAGTGGGGGTGAAGGGCATGGGATATACATTGAAAGTAAGGAAGCAAGGAGAAGGGAAAGTAGGATTCATTCCTTTAGCAGGAAATGAAAAACAACTGGAATGTTTACCAGGTGTGGGGCTTTTTCTCACTTTGTTCCTGTTGGGTTTAGTATCTTGTTATTAAAACTCTTTGAATGGTTTGGAAATGGATCTCTCTGACTGTAGCACTTAATTAATGGCTGCTTTGTTTCATGTGAAGGAGGGAAATTGGAGGTAAAATACTAACTAATTCCAAACACTGATCATAGTTTAAAGTAAGGAGGGGACACCTTCAGAGATGACTTTGATTTCTGCGTATGGGTTTCTCTTGCTGTCTTTTCATTCAGAAATCCTCAAACAAGCCTAAGAAGTGCTGCTGTGCTATGTGACTTTCATGAGAAGCTTTGCCTAGTCACAGTAATGAGCACATTTAAAGTCTGTCCACATTTATTTCCCACCAGGATGTTCTTCGTTGCATCCCGCGAGGGTCACCTTCCGGAAATTCTCTCCATGATTCATGTCCACAAGCACACTCCTCTGCCAGCTGTCATTGTTTTGGTAAATCATACAAACAAATGTTCCCGCACAAGAATTCGTATTACAGGCTTGCTCTGGAGGATTTGAACAGAATTTGGGCACTGCTTGAGTCTCATTTATTGATGTGTATGTGGGCTTTGGGTAGGGCAGAGGATAGTGCAGAAAGGAATGAGATTTGAGAGTTGTTCTTATTCTACTGTCTCCTCCTTGCTATTTTGCCAGGTAGCACTTGACTACCTATTGCTGCAACCTAATTCATGTCTTAATGCCCTTTATTTCTAAGGACACTGATAGTGATGAGCTAGTTCCCTTTCAGAGAATCAAATTCCAGTTAAACAAACAAACAAACATGGGATTCATTTAACTGAAAGTGCAGCTAAACACCAGCATCTGGGAGCACCCTAAAGGCTCATTATACCACCTTATAGAGAAAAATGCAAACAGTTACGCACTAAGATAATGGAGGGGGAACCCTCAGCAGTGCAGTGTAGCGGTGATTAAAAAATGAGAGAACGTGTGCCTGGGCAATGGTCTGTGAATTGTCTAAGGAAAACACCAGTATTATAGTGGAAATCCTATTACTGACTTCTAAAATAGCAGCAGAGCTAAAATCTGACCATGTGTTTGAGTTGCAGAGTAATTTGTACTGTGAAGTGTTACAACAAAATGTCACGACACAAACCTTGAACCTTGGTTTGCATAGTGCCAAGAAAATTTCTACTTTCTACTTGCAGTCTTCATAACTGTGGGTGCTCAGCCCCTCTTTTGGGACCAATGACTGTAATGTATTTGGACAGACCTATGTGTCTGTGGGAATTCTAACCACAGCAGATCTGTGTGCATCTGTGAGTATACACTAGTAAGATCAGATGCTTTTATGAGAATTTGAGTTGGTTTTTGCTATAGATGCCTATAAGCTCCCTTCTGAAGTGCCAGCTGAAGTATTGAATTTTATATGTGCAAGTACAACTGTAGGCATTCTAATTTTGAAAATTAGGCAATGTGACTATGATGAAAAGTTTTAATAGAATTCATTTTACATAAACATTTACTTTACATTTTATTTCTTTGGGCTGAAGCAGTCATATTTTTCAGGTAAATTGCATTGACTGTTTTTTGTGGAATAAAATGCACTAAATGAATGAATATATTATTTTTTCTGAACGGTATTTTCTGCTATTGCATCTGCTCCTGCTACACTTGTGCATTGACTTTCCTTGAAAAAGTCAGGTTATCATATGAAGATGGCTTTCCTTCAGAGACTGAAGATTTTTTTCTTGCCTTAGTGCAAGTAGAATAGTTGCAGGATATATTCTACATGTATAGTTTGCATTTTAGTGTTTTCCTATTTTATTTCTCCTGTCAAGGTCTACACACTGTAAGAAAGGAAAGAGTTCTTGAGGAGAAACTGAGGAGATTAGCATGTTCAGTGTCAGGCTTGTTAAATAAAAAAAACACTTTTAGGAATTAAGAAATCTGTCTATGTATGTATGTCCTGGTATTTGATAATGCATATGTAGTGGCTCTGAGAAATCATGCAATCTGATTGTAACCTTATTTATGTTTTTCTTGATAGCTCTCCGTTACTGTCTGTGACCCTTTCTTGCATTATCATGCTTATAACTGAGGTTTAAAACTTTTAAGGGCTGAGTCTATAGAGAAGAAATCTTGCCCAATATAATTCAGTGGCAAAATTTCCTTTGACCTTTACAGAGAAGGAGTTTGCTTAATATCTGTGTGTAAAGAACCAAGCACTTTGTAAGTCATTAGAGGTTGGAAGCCAGAGACCCATATTTGAAATATTGATCCTTTTGGTGCAAATCCATGCTGCATTCACTGCTTAAAAAAAATAAAAAAGAGAGAGAGAGAAAGGCTGCAAGTCTAGAGAATTAATACAAATTAGTCTTCCTTACATAAAGATTTTGCCCAGTGTTTTACTGCACCTGCAGTTGACTTCACCTGTTGCCTCATGATCAACCTAGAGAGGCTGTCACTGCCAGGCTCTTCCTTGGTGAAGTTGCCTCTTTCCTTCTTCAAATACAAGGACTGTGTCATGGCGAGCATAGGGTGTCTCATACAGGAAGTGCAGGCTGCCCTGCACAGTTGATCCAAGCTGCAAATATTCCGCTTTTATCCAGAGATTACCCTGAAATAGATCCCTGTGGCCTACACTAATCATCTAACCCAAGGCGGAACACTCTTGTTTCTACATAAGCTTTTGCCTGCTTCACAGGTTTCTGAACACCTTGTTAATGAGGAAATGTATTTATCCTAGTGTCCCCTCTCCTTCTTGCTATTCAGTAGGTGCCTGAGTGACAGCTAAATGTTTCTGCTTAGAAATGTTTGCATTTCCAATGTGCAGTAAGTTTACACCTTGCAAGCCTGAAAAGCATTCTGTAAATGCAACCTGGTGTAGCCTGCTGGCATCCCATGAGGTATAGTTAACCCCCACCATGCCCTCTTGGTTGAGTTCCCCTATTGCAGTCTGCGGGACTGTAAGACTTTTTCCTCTTCCACAAGACACCCGGAAACCTCTGCTGTCATATGGCCAGATGTGACAAAATTTAGCTGCTCTTGTCATTTGCATCAGTGATGAGTGAGTAAAACTGCAGTGGGCTAATATATTTGTCAGATCCCGTGAGAATGGTGCCCAGGATACCAAGCAGTGGGCTCTGTGCCTGTGTGTTTGTCTGGGTCACAGGGGGCAAATATGTATTGATCACATATGGCCACCTTGGACAGATATATATTAATCAAACGTGGTCCCAGAGGACAGCTAGGTATTGATCACACACCTGATTGCATGACAAAGGCAGGCCTGAAGTCTGTGGCTCTCAGGTGTCTCTGTGAAAGACTGTACTCCTTGTCCCTGTGGAAAGATTTGGCATCGCTGCTGTAAAATAATAGAGATCGATACACTAAACCCCTCTTATGCTCTGAATTTCTTTTGCAGCATCCTCTCACAATGATAATGTTATTCAATGGGGATCTCTACAGCCTCCTGAATTTCCTCAGTTTTGCCAGGTGGCTTTTTATTGGACTAGTAGTTGCTGGGTTGATTTATCTCAGATATAAACGTCCTGATATGCCTCGTCCTTTCAAGGTAACCTCAGCTCTCTACTGTTTTACATGAATCCTTGTCCCTTGTATCTGTTGTGTAGTCAGACAGTAAAGGGGCATTTTCGGATATAGAAAGCTAACCTCTTTTTCAAGAAAGACAGTTAATAGAAAATATTCTTTTGCACTGAAGGATCTCCTTGTGTTTTCCTGCAAGCTCCCCAGTGCTACCCCAGTTGCAACTTCTTCTGAAAGACAACTCTTGCCTATTCCCTGGTGCTTGTGGGGCAGTGACTGAAGCTGCTGTATCAAAGTGAAGATATTTGCTCAGTTTTGCCCATCTGACATGTTGAGGCACTGTGATGCAAGCTGTGTGAAAATATTTCTAGTCCCGTGTAGTCACACAGGCTCCAAACTACAAATATCAGGGTTATGTGTGCCAACCTAATTTTCAGCCAGTCCTCTATTTAATGTCTATTTTGATAAAGGCCTGAATAATTTTGCCATCAGAATACATGTCAGGCATAAGTATTAATAATAAACATTTATTTCATTACATATCAAATATAGAATATGCCAATTTGATGTGAAAATAAGTTATTAGTGCTATTAATGTGGTATTTGGGACTTGCATTTGGTTTACAGACACAGTTACTTTGAACCCAGGAAGAAAATGCTAACAGCCTGGCCCATTGAACAGCAGCTGTTTTGGCCTTGGTTCTGCCACTCTTCTTGCTTATTGTAACATTTTACAAAGCAAGTTGTCCCATTATGTGGCTGGAAAGACAACGTCCGTCATGGAAAAAAATGGAGGAATCCATATCTATTTATATATTGCCACAAAGCCTACTGTACAAAGAGCTAAGAATGTGTGCTGTTGAATTCTTGTAGGTATGTCTGTAAATAAGAAGGTCAACAGCACAGCTTGTTTGTTTGTTTTTTTTATTAAAATAAAATACTTTGACAACGCACAAAAGAGGAACAGTAATGCTTCAAGGCATGAAAGGAAGAGAACAATCTCCAAGGAATCCTCCAATTCTCTGTTACACCGAACATCTCAAAAGCCATGCCTGTGTAGGTGTTTCCTTCAGAAAGGTGCTAACATAGTGGTTGTAGTAGTATTCTTGAAAATTGAGAGAATTAATTTGATATTGTTATTTTTTGTACTTTCAACAGTCACACTGATAATGCTATCAGTCATAAAGTCAGAAAGCAGTTTTTCAGAAGCTAGCAGTTGCATAATGCTATCAAATATCTTTATCACTGGTCAAATTGGTGTTTAATTTGCTCTCTTCCTGCCAGATTTTGATTTTTACCTTAGGAAGAAAATCAATATATTCTTAATAGTTTTAAAAGGTGACTTGAGCTTCTGGTTGTGTTCTAAAATGTTTTCTAATAGGTAATTATCAAAAGAGGAAATCTTTACTGTAGTTAGTGCTGTTTACTTATCTACTGGAGGATTAGAGAAAGGACTTCTGTAATGTAACATATTTACAGCCCTTCCATTTTAAAGAACATAAAACACTGTAGCATTTTAGTGTGTAATTGAAAGACTTCTGTGGTACTTACTGCATAGCACTATGTGTGGCTTGTTTTCTGCAGTCACTGGCATTTTGTGTGCATGTTGTAGCTACCCGTATTTCCCCAGAACTGTTCTGTACTGCTGGGTTTTGTCCAATTCACATTTCATGGAACATTAAATGCCACTGTCATTTGATAGCAAGGTCAATGTAAAGTAATGGTTCTTTGTGTGATTTTGTTTCAGGTGCCTCTATTTATTCCAGCATTGTTTTCCTTCACCTGCCTCTTCATGGTTGCACTGTCACTTTACTCTGATCCAGTGAATACAGGGATTGGATTTGCAATAACACTGACTGGAGTTCCTGCATACTACCTCTTTATTGTATGGGACAATAAGCCAAAATGGTTCAGAAAGCTCCTAGGTAAGTCCATCTCCTTCATGCCAACTCTGGGAATTTCTCGGAGCTCCCTATGTTGTGAAATCCTTCCAATCGATCCTCTTGGCTGCTCTGATCTGGGGATGACAATGCAAGTTTCTTTTTGGAGCGTGCTATCTCATTGCTCTGCCAGTTGCAATCAATGTCTGCTAACTAATGAGATATATTTACAGCAAGCCTATTCTTCAGCTAAAGAGATTGACTCTAAATGACTGAATGCCTCTTCCCCCTATCCTCCATCTCCCTTCCCTTCCCTATAAACAGCTGATTCCTTTTAAAACACCCATCTCCCTCCCCTGGCCATTGACCTATGCTAATAGAGAAAGTATTCCACTCCTAGGAGAATTGGTTTTGAAACTTAAACATCACAGTTACGATGACAGGATG